TCGGTCTACTTTAACATATGTTTCTTTTTATTGCATGTTTGTTTGTTTAATGTCACTGTGCTGCTGGGAGAATAGGAACTTCTAAATTGCTTTATTTCACTTCAAATCCTTGTCGGTATATTTCACTGGGAAGGAAAGAATCACAATTGAAAAAGAGCATAGACACAGAACATTTAAAATTTTATCTAATTTAAGTTTCATTCCAATTGCCTTTTTTTTCAGCCGTGCATCAGATTTTGGATTGGTCAAGGTAGATGGCAGAGGACGCATCATCCAATTTGCAGAAAAACCAAAGGGAGCTGATATGAAAGCGATGGTAAGTTCCAAGACTATTAAATGTTCAACTAAAATAGGTTCTTGGTCACTATCAGAAAGGTTGTTGGTCACTGTTAGAAAGAACAAAAAAGAAACAAGTATTCTAGCACTACGGAAATTCCTGGGAAATTCATATATTTATCCAGAATAACTTAGCACACATCACAAATTGATGTACTAAAAATATTAAGAACATGCAGATATATATTTAAAGCATACAGATTATCATTATATGTAGGCTTGATTTGCAAACTTGTACAATTACATCCCAATATTTGAACTTACATGTTATGGCATAATAATGTGATCATAATATATTTATCTACAGAGTCGATCTAATCATGTGTTCCTGTTGCTTCTCTGCAGCAAGCAGATACTTCTGTTCTCGGATTGTCACCCCATGATGCAAGAAAGTCGCCATATATTGCATCTATGGGTGTTTATGTATTCAAGAGAGATGTATTACTCAAGCTTCTGAAATGGAGATATCCTACATCCAATGACTTTGGATCTGAAATCATTCCCGCAGCTGTGAGGGAACACAATGTCCAAGTAAGAGAAATTCCTCTCAAAATATCTCCTTTCAAATGTTTTTATCTATTCTGTAAGGAGTCTTATATTGCATTTACAAGGAACTAGTCACTTCTTAATGAGGTAACAATAAAAGTTGAATGTCTATTGCCCTCTTTCAGGCATATTTTTTCAATGACTATTGGGAAGACATTGGAACAATAAAATCATTTTACGATGCCAACTTGGCTCTTACTGAAGAGGTGGGTTCAATATATTTACTGTTATCAAATTTCTAATTTAATGGTGTTCTTATTCTATAGGCATAGGCAATATAGAACTGTGTATTAGTTACAATACAAGGCACAAAATCGAAGATGCATAGTTATTAGTTTCCCTTTTTTTTCATAAGGCCACCATGAATAAATCAACATAGAGCTTGTTTAGATATAAATTTAGAAGTGTTTTTTAGAGATTTTTTTACTGAAAAATACTCTTTATTATCAGTAAAAAAAGAACTCTTAAAATCGTTTCTGACTTATATCTAAACAGACTCATAGTATAACTAATGTTGCTTGAATGTACAAAATTGTCAGTGTCCCATAACTATCTGTTTTATGCTACTCTCTTGCAGAACCCGATGTTCAAATTTTATGATCCAAAGACACCTATTTACACATCTCCAAGATTGCTACCACCAACCAAGATTGACAAATGCCGGGTATGACTATGATTATCTATCTTAAAAGTTTGCTTAGTTTCATTAGATGTATCACTTATCATGTTTGAGTTGCTCCGTAGATTGTGGATGCAATAATCTCCCATGGATGTTTCTTGAGAGAGTGCATTGTCCAACGTTCCATTGTGGGTGAACGTTCACGCTTGGATTATGGTGTTGAGCTTCAGGTAAACTACCATAATTTCTAGACCAAGGATACCATTCTATTCGAGGTTCCTACCATCTTAAAATTCTAAAATCATCTTTTGCAGGACACTCTGATGATGGGAGCTGACAATTACCAAACTGAATCGGAAATTGCTTCTCTGCTGGCAGAGGGGAAGGTTCCCATTGGAATTGGAAGGAACACCAAAATTAGGTAATCTCACCCTAAGATTAACACAACACCTAATTCAATATGTTGGATTTACAAGTTAACACTAACTACAAATTTGTCTTCATCATGGTAAAAGATTAGCTTAACATGTATGTACCTGATAGTCATGTCATCTGATATTTGTTACTTGTTGTCCTTGTTGAAGGAACTGCATAATTGACAAGAATGCAAAGATAGGGAAAGATGTCATCATCATGAACAAAGATGTGAGCATGGCTGCTTGATCTGATCTTCCTTTTACATTTGAGCCAATTTTGCTACTTAATAGTTTTGTAGTCTTAGATAAATGGTAGAACAAGTCATTAGTATCATGTTATCTATTACCATGCAAATTATTTGTGTAGGGCGTTCAAGAAGCAGATAGACCAGAAGATGGATTTCACATTCGATCAGGAATCACAATCATATTGGAGAAGGCAACAATAGAAGATGGCACTGTCATATAAATGGCTCTATGGTACTTGTTTCCTGAACTGGTGGCTAGAAGTAGCTCGAAGAAGCATTCCAGGGAACTTATACCATCTTTGGGGATAAAAGGGTCCAATTGAGAAATCAGCACCCCCTTTTGCTATATATAGAAAACAGAAGGCTCTCCTCCAACGCATGTAAAAATAGAATGAATGAATGAATAAAGTATGAAATCAAGATGCATAAAACTAAATAAAATGAAAAGTTGGGCGTTAACTGCCAAACTCGTTTTCTCCTTTAGTATCACTGAAGTATTACTATTACTTGGGATGATGAATTTAATTGCACATAAGAATTTGAGGGGTTCCTAGATTGTTCTCTTCCTCTCCAAATTGAGCAACACCATTTAAACTATAGCTCATAATTAATCTAAATTTTAAAAAAGTACTAGTGAGCGCAACAAGAAACTAGCACGAGCATGCTTGAGAAGGTATTTTCGTCCAATCGGCGTAATAGTAAGGATTTAAATAGTTTGCATGAAATCTTAGTTTGAAACTCGTTGTTGGTATTGTACAAATGACAAGCGAACAAAAAAGAAAAACTTTCGTCCTTTTAAAAATGTCATATATTGGCTAAATGTGAAGTTGACTAAATTCGTATCTAGGTTAACAGTGAGCGAAACGAATGTCATGGAAAATGAGTTGTCACTTGTAAGGAAAACACCACCTTGAGAGTTGAGAATATATTTGGATAAGAAAATGAAATGAATCCAAATATAATGAAATGGGATGGGATTAAATAAAAAAATATTATCTTATTATTTTTTAATTTAATTATTATCCTTATTAAAAGAGATTGATCTTTTGGATAAACTTTGTAAAGATAAAATAATCATGTTATAATTTAAAAAAAGTTTTGTTTCATGGGATGCACTTCAACTAAACAAAATTGAGATTAAATGATGGAATGAACTATAGATTAAGAACCATTTTTTTTAGATGAGCTCCACGACCAGCAAGGAATGCATGCCACAACAAAAGTAAACATTAGGACTAGTTCCACGATTAGGATCAATACATGATCAGACCAATATCATGATCAACATCACGACCAATCCGAAAATAACCTCACTTCAAGCGTCAACAGCAATTATCAGAAGCGGGTTTGCTACGCCTTTCAACAAGTTATTGACCACACACATAAATTCAATAGCCATCATTAAAAATTCGTTTGTCACGTTCATAGTTCTTGGAAATTTTGTTTTGTTTTAAAAAATGGATTCCCACAATCCCGCATGAAGATGCTTATGATTCTTCAATGATTCATTGCCTACGTTGTCGGTATCTTAGGTTATCTTGTGGGGACACTGTAGAGATGCAATTCGTGTACCGTACGGAAAAGATGGAAGCAAATGCTATTTATTCTCAATAGGCGTGCGTGTTAATGGACTTTTCTATCCTGGACCAAATTCCTTAGATTCGGGAAACAAAATGTTCTCATCTTTTCATTCCATTGGCTTTGTCTTTCTATTTCATAGTTATCTCCTTTGGGAATGGATATACTTTGTGCTTGTAACCTTTATTTGGTCCTCCCCACACCCTGTTAGAAACCAGGCAAACATACTTTCTTGCAAACCCTTCTATTTTCCCTGTAGATGAGTTTTATAATCCACTTACAAGGCACTTGAAAAGGCTTTTAGAAAACAGTTTCATTTAGATATATTGTTTGGTGTAAAACCTCTTTTTTTTTTTTTGACAGCTTGTTTGGTGTAAAAAAATTTATATTATAAAATAAATATTTATATTGTTATCACATTCTAATTAAATTCTTTAAAAAATCATATAAAAAATATTTAAGAAATTAAAACCTTTAATTATGAGTGTATATTTTCTAGGAAACTTATTTATGTTTCACTACTAATTCTTCTAGAACTAAAACTACTTTTTTAAATAGTTGGTTAAATTTTTGCAATTATAGTCCCTATATTTTAAAATATAGTCATTTAACTTCTCTAATTTTAAAAACATATAATTTTAACTCTTCCGTCAAATTGACATCTATTCATATTTGATTAAAATTTGATGTTATTTTTAAGAAATATTAATTAATAAAATTGTCATTTTTCCTACAAGATTGGTACAAATTTGAGACCAAGTATCAAGTATTTATTGATAGTAAACTAATAGGAAAAGTCACATAAAAATTACTGTAAAATCATTGCAAGACAAAATGTACTAATCCTGCATAATTTTATCCCATCCAATCAACTCTGTTACTATCACTAAATAATATTTTCTTTATGAGCTTTTAAAAGTTTTGAAAACATGTTAATTTTATTAAGAATTTATTTAAATTCAAGCTTTGAAATACTTTTGAGAACTTTTCTATAAGAAAATACTCTCTATTTTTAATAAATAAAAAATTTCTGAAAAGCACTTCTAACTTATATCTAAATAAATCTTAAGAATTCGACATGCTTTTAGATCTTCCTCTTGAATCTTCCTTGTTCTATAATTCTATTAAGAATTTGACATGTTTTTGGACCTTGAGAATCATAAATGTTTTAAGTGTTGACACAAAAGTGATTGGTGTTAAATAATTTTTAGTTCAAAAAGTGGCGAAAAATCTTGAAGAAATTATGGTTCACAAATGAAGAATTAAACCCAAAATGTACACAATCGTGTATAAAACACTTTCAACGTGATGACTTGGATGATAAGATAGTACTCAACCACTCCTGAGAAATTTCTCTCATCCTGCGTTATTGCATAAGTATATACATTACAGACAAAAAATGCATGCTCCCGTACATAACTTCTTCAGATGCATGCACCTCTTATATTTTGTTTCAATAAGTCCAATCTGGGGAGAATAAAGAAGTATTATTCAACATGATTGTGGCATACACATGGCTAGAGATTTCTCACTTCCCCGCATGACTTCAAGTATAGAAGTAAGCAGCCATAATGCCATGCATTTCTCTCAAACTAATCCTGAGAATCTCCCATCATATAAACTTCATAAGAAATTAATTTTAAAATCCCTTCATATTCCAAACTATCACAGGTCCCTTTTTCATAAGCTCAGAGGGATTCAAACTGTTCATTGCCTTTCCCATCAGGGCCATGGCAGCAATGCTTGGAAACTGCTTCTTTTGAAACTCTTCTAGCAGAGCATTTGAAGACTTTGGTTCATGAAACTCCCCTAATTCATGACTCTTTTGGGAAGGTGCAGAACGATTATGACTCCATCTCTGAATCCAGGGGTGTGAAAGGGTAATTTCTACAGTTTTCTTTGCTTCAGTAAAAGAGGACTTGCCATTTGTTGATACTGTTGCAGCTAGATCCGGTACCAAACTAGTTTTGCTATCTTTCATAATTCTGCCAATTATATTGTTGACTTTTTCATGCGAAGAAGTTTCTCCAATTTTAGTAATCTCAGTACCATGAGCAGAACCCAATGTGCATAACTTGAGTCGTTTGACCCATCTGCTGCTTGGATCTGATCCCAAAGAACTACTGCCAGAATTTGACCTTGCACGCTCATCTGCATGAGAAAGAAAGTGATCCAAATCAAGGCTGTGGGTTCTTGATGTGCTGGTCTCCCTGTCAACCACAGGACTTTCCTGATTGAGAAGTTCATGAGGCTCTTGGTTTATATCTGGTAGTACTGTTTTCACTGATTTTGCTACGTTTTTCTCACTAGCAGAAGTTGCAGCAACATGAGACGGGAGTGAGTTCTGACTATCCTTGGAGCACTGCAAAATTAAAATTTTGATAACTACAACCCAGTTAGCATCTCAAAGTTTAATATAGTACCAGATTTTACTAGGCACATGGTTACTAAATTTTGAAAACCAATTACATATGCAACTAAAGAAACTATTCTCTAATAGTGTGTATAGGACTATGGGTTCAGGTTATATTGTGGAAGGATATAACATTACTCTTTTCCCAAAAAACCCAGACTATTAAGGGTAAAAAAAAAGAAGGATATAATTAAAATTATCTAAATGCTTGAGAAAGAAAGTGGAGATCAAAAGTTAAATGGCATGGTATCAAGAAGGTCAAAAGTTAGAAAAATTACCTTATTTGTTTGCAAAGGAACATCACCTGCAATAGACAACATAGAGAAGCATAAGCAGTTTAGAATTTGAAAACTAAAACTAGGATTAAAGTTAACTGCAAATGTTGAAAAATGAACATTATGTAAGTAATTAATCAAAGTTAGAATTTGAAAAAGTTTTTAATTTTTTTTAAACAAAGCCGTAGGTATAGCATGATATGTTATATCGTTTAAAAGCGTGCATGTATATACCAGGAAGATTATTCTTATGTAAAGCATCGATGTCCATAGTATCAGTTTCAGCAGATGATTCATTCTTCAGGCATGTTGGAGATGTGAAATCTTGGACATTTTCATTTCCTTCACTCTTTATGGAGCTCCCTAGAGCTTTGAGCTTCAAACCTTCCAGAGCATGGTCACACGTGGGTGGAGAGAAATCCAGGATCTCAGTTAAAGCGTTTCCCTTGAATTTGATGGGCTCTCTAAAGAACTGGCCTCTGTCAGATAAGTTAACATCAGTTTTTTTCGACATCAGAAAATGGTGACTTGTCTGGGAAATTTTGGGATGATCTCTCGACAATTCTTCTACAGAATCTAAACTGGTGTATATCTTCATAGACCCAATGTCATGAACAGAACAAGGCACTTGCGCTAACACAGAGTTTAGTCCATACAGATTTTGTGGTTTAGTTGACTCTGGGGATACAGTCTGGCTTGTAATATTTGGATTAGCAACATATTTTTCAATCTCATGGTGCTGACCAACAAAATATAATCCATCATCACTTCCAGCTATGAAATCATGCGGTAAATGAGTAATACCACCTTGCATCCATCTTGAAAAAGAAGATCTTTGAGGTTCTAAGATGCTACTCACTTTCTTCTCACTGATTAAAAGAGAAGAATAGGCATGATATTTAGTACGAGTGAATGGCCCTTGGGATGCTAAATTGTAGCTTGATTGACACATTTCAAATGGTTTGTGCATGAATTGGGGCATCACCTTTTTCCCTTTGCCACGTCCATCTGGCGCCATGTCAGAAGCTGATTTTACAAAATCATTCCATAGTGATGTTGAAACAGCTAGGCTCTTCTGTTCAACATCCAACGTAGATTTCATCAGCAGAGCTGTCGGTAAAACTTCTTGAGACAATACTCGACACTCTTTTACTAGAGCATGTGCAGGTGCGGAGGTAGATGGTAAGCCAGTTCCGGAAGTCCCAGCCCTGTTGAGAGAAACATTGACATCTCCAGAGCAGGCTTCAGTTTCAGATTTACCTTCTAACTTTTGAGAAACTTTGAATGCAGGAAATGATTTGGAACCATTGCTCGCTTTCTTTGATTTTCCATTGTCTGCCTCATCGGTGAAGGTAACACTTTTGGCCCTAGCTGCTTCCCCAAGCAAATCACGCTGCTCAGCACCACTGTCTTCTTTTTCCTCTTTCACCTCACAACCAATCCCCAGACCACTGCAAGCAGAGGTTGCTGATTTATCGCTTGTTTGCATCCAGTGAGCCATCCACACCGATCGTTTCCCATGCATTGCTTGAGCTTCAACCCTCTCACCATCATGACACGCTTCTGCAGCAATATCTTCAGCCTCAGGCATCATAGATCGATCAACTCTCTCCAGCGCAACACACTGATATTTTACTATTTTGACCTCACAAACATAGTCAATCCGTACAACTGTTCAAAACCTAGAGATTTCAAGAACCATAAATCAGCAACAATCAAAAATCCATCGCATGCATGTAATGAAAAAAAAAATGAACAAAACTAGATCACACGATTCAGAAATCAGAACTCAACGTCATCACACGAAGAAAGCAAATCCAATTCTCGTCAACCTGACACGGAAATCACTACTATATAATCAAATATAGATTAGTAAGTAGTAACTAACAGCATCTTTCGTTGAAACAATTCCAGTGTAAATTAAATTCGACAAAAATAAACCTACAAAACAAGCAAACCAAATTTCCACGCAATTCACCAAAGGACGAAAAATTAATTAGAAATTACCTTCGAAATTCAGAACGCAGAAGAAGAAGAAGAAGAAGAAGAGCGAAGTCGGCGAAACTGAGAACCATTGAGTTGAGAAGCAGAGGAATGTGAAGGAAATGAATGAGACTGAAGAAGAAGAAGAAAAGTGTGTGGAACTGCATGAAATCAACGGCGAGATATTGGTCGTACGTGGGTCCCATGTGTTTAAAACAAATCTGGCCGTTGATTAATTTTGGGTGGGATTAGCTTGGCGTTGATTTGTTTGGGTTCCTCAGCCACACGAATCGGACGCGAACCGGTGGGACCCACCCGTCTGCACTTTTCCTATCTTCCAATTGGCTATTTCTTCAGCTTTTTATTTTTTGGCCTCTTTTTTTCATTTCTCGTATGTTTCGAATTACGCGTAATTATTGTGACCACTTTTAAACTCCAAGCCATGAATAAAATAATTTCTGAATCTGCCTTTTTGTCAAATAAAAATTAAATAAATAAATTATTTGCTTTGTTTTGTGTTGTGTTGTGTTGTTTCTAAGGAAAATATCTACTTACACAATAAGTATGTCAAAAATATCTACACAAGTTGAACTAACAAGAATGTTTTGGACTTTGCGTATCGTTTACTCCAACATTTTTTCGTATCTTTGTAAATATCAACTATTTACTATTTAATTAATGTTTAAAATGAAATAACTTTCTCTCTCTTTATGAAAATAGAAATACAAAAAAAAATGTCATACTTGTAAGTTGTAACAAATGGAATACATTGTGTCTTGAGGAGTTCAAAAACTTTCATTTAGAACTAAACTTTGCTTTTAAAAAAATTTCCAAACATGCACCAATTCTCTATTTATCAAATTTGAAAGTAGTTTAGTTGGTGAAACAATTAAGTTAAATGCATCATTAGTGTTAGCTTTTATAATTTTTAATGTTGTATTAGTTGCTATGAAGAATGTGACTTTTAACAACAACAAAAAATTATATTATAAATAATTTTTATTTTAAAAATACATAGAATTTAAAAAATGATCCAGTTCGACAGATTTTATAAAATTTGACATCTCTAGAAATATATAGTCATTTTCTTTGTGTTTATTTAATAAAATTTTATCAAATTAAATAAGTATGTTCTAATTAATTATTTAATCAAATAACATTTTTCTAACTATTTGAATTCGTATTTAATTTTACTGAATTAATATTAAATGTAAAAGGTTGCATTTAAATTATTGTTAAAATAATATTTATTAATAAATTTATTTTGTCGACTTGTCTACATTAAAAGTTATAAGTATTTTATATTTAAATTATATATATATATATATATATATATATATATATATATCATGCCACATAAAATCAGCATATATTTTTTTTCTTTTATACTAATGTTTGAAAATTATATCTTAAACTAATTTGATTCAGTTAAAATATAAGTAAAATCTAAAGACTGTTTTTATCAAAGAACAAACCAAAAGACTACTTAAATCATTTAATTTTGATTTTATACATTAATCAATCAGCTTGTATGTTACGCATGTTACACATCATTATATATTATATATATAATTCTAAATAAATACTTAATGTTAGAATTTATCAAAACAAAAACCAAATTACATATATCTATTTTATAAATAAAAAGAATCACTCGCTTAACATATTCATAAGTAGCGTACATGCACGTATATAGATTACTGTAACTGCGGAACCTTCTTCAAATGCAGATAGTTATTTATTTTGCCTATTTCTTTTCAGCTTTTTTTACTGATAAAAAAAAATACTGTAATTTTGTAAATTTGTTATATTTTTTTTTAGGTTTAAATATGTTTTTAATCTCTCAAATTTAAGATAAATCTATTTTTGGTCCCTCAAATTTAAAATTGTTATTTTTAGTCCCTGTAATTTCAAAAAAAAATATTTTAGTTTTTATATTCAAATTTTGTTAAAAAATTTATCAAACATTATTACTTAAAATCTATCTATTAGTATCTCTATTAGTGAAAATATCACATTAGATCCGATTGATATTGCATAACTATTTTAATTAGTCACTTTCAAATATGTTATTGGTGACCTAAATGACTAAAATAAGATTCTTAAAAATTACAGGGACTAAAAATAATAATTTTAAATTTAAAGGACCAAAAATAAATTTATTTTAAATTTGAGGAACTAAAAACATATTTAAGTCTTTCTTTTAACATGAATTTGGATACGTAGTTCTTAGATGTCATTTTCATGTGGTCACGTGTATATACATATTTATTATTTTGTGTACCCTTTTAATAAAATCAAAGTAAAAACGTATAGTTCTTCAACATTTTATGCTTGAGCAAAATATGCATGAGCTTGGTGCACGATTCTTGTGCAATTGGAGGTTTAGGAAGAGGGGATAGAATGAAAAGTAATCAAAAGAAAATAAATTTTTTTCTTGGATTGTTATCTCATTTTATTGTGATTAAGTTGATCCTTCAGGCATAAAAATGATTGGATTTATTTAGTAGATGAAAATCATTTAAATTGTTCATATTGTTAGATGATATCTATAAGTGAACATGTGACAATGCATTAGTTAATGTACCTGTCTGATGGGTACACTGTAATCTTCTCGTAGTCTGAGGGTCGAACGAGTGCTCCGATCGAATATTCCGATGAAGGGGTTGGTACCTGCAAAAGGCACTTCAATGCTCAAGTCAGGACAAACACGAATATCTAGGATAATTAATGAACAATGACGTTACCTCGTGACATGAGCTATTTATACTGACATTTATGGGTCCGGACTCCCATGGGCCATGCAACAGGATTACCATATTAGGTAATACGTCTCTAATCGGCTTATTGGTGTGATTAACTCTTAATCCCTAATTAGGGGAATCCTAATCTCTTTATTAGTAGGAATATGAACTTATGGATCATCTGGTTGCCGATCGGGATTCGGCCACCTGATTCGGCCATTCAGGTGCCGATTGGATGTTGGCTATCGGGTGGCCGAATGGTCGAGTCAGGTGGTTGAATAGCCTTACCAGTACAATTAATGTGTTTGCATATGATATATATTATGATGTGTTCATGTGCATTGTTAAATGTTTTGTGTGACATGATTTGAATGAGAGACATATTTGCTTTAAGTGTTGTAACTTTCATATATGATTATTATGTGATGTTATATATTATATGATTGTTTTCTACATATACGTGTTTTATAACTTTAGATTATCCTTTTTGTTTCCATGGTGGTTTAGACTATAATAATTATACGTTATATATGGGCATATCAAGGCTAAACTTGAGAAGTCGTTGCAAGTAAATGTCGTGGTCTTTTGTTAATAGTGAATAGTGATGCTATTGCGTGTAGTTTGTATAAATGTGTTCAACCGACACTAAAATATAAGATTATTATATAATGTTGGAGAGACTACGTGTTACTTAGAAGTAGGAGTTCTCAACCTTTTGACATAAAAACTCTAAGCTATAAAGCTTGAATAGGTATTTGTTCCGGCCACGAGGTGCGCTAGGGTTTCTGCCTAGGTCAAGCCTCAAAGCCAGAGCATTCAAAAGTGTAATCTGCCTTCTTAGCCTTAGGATTTTAGGTTTTATACTTCGTCGTCCATGGGCCTTATGGGCCCCGAGAACATAGGGATTTCCTCAACCGTTCTTGCTACGAGGCCGCGCAATGAGTGAGGATTAGTTAAGTCGGATTTTTACCTAGATGGTACACTAGTCGGGTTTTTACCTAGATGGTACACTAGTCGGGTTTTTACCTAGATGGTACACTAGTCGGATTTTTACCTAGATGGTACACTAGTCGGATTTTTACCTAGA